CCATGTGTGTTGCCTTCAGCGTGCTGATGCTTGCTCTCGTTTTTGCTGTCGGCATACGGTCAAGAGGCCGATCTATCTATATAAGTTACGGGCTTGCAAATGTTTTAGTGTGGTTGTCGTCGGTTTGCGAATCGTGTGTTCTTGCTTGTGGATGCCAGCCGACGTTTTAGCTGGCGTGCCACTTGGCTGCTCGCTCGCAGATTGCGGTGACCCTGCATTTAGCTCGGCGTTGGTTTGCGCCTTCGCTGATCTTCTGGCCACTCTCGTGCATGTGTCGTGCGTCACGCGTTCAGACTGCTAGTCTGCTAGTCGTTGGCATCTAAGTTGATTGCAGCTCGTGGTCGGCTAGCGTCTGTCGCCTGCCTGTAGATATGGTGACCATCCACCCGCTAATATTCTGGCAGTTGTATGTCGTTTTCCTGTGCGTGCTCGGCCTGCCTTGAGCCTGCGCTCCGCGTTCGGGGAGACTTTTCAGAGGCCATGCGCGCAATATCTGGTCTGCGCCCACTCGTATCCCCCTCCACCGAAGGTGCCAGCGGCAGGGTTCGCATGCGGACCCCTCCCCATGTGGGGTTCGCATGCGCCCCCCACATGTCGGTACACCACTCACATGTTTGGTGGCCCCATATGGGGTTCCACCAAAGACCCCAGTGGTTCAGCTCGTCAACGGTCCCCCCCCCAATCTGGATCACCTTTCAGGCGCCTCCTGGCCCCATAGGGAGCTTCCCCTCTTGCGTCCCACTTGCGTTGCTCAAACTTGCATATGGGTGGGTCCTCCGCCAGAGTAGTTATGTGTTTTTGTGTTCTTCGTTTTGAATACGCAGCACTCCGCGTCACTCCTCACATCCCTCCTCCTCGTCCCTCCCTCCATGGTCCCATCCTTGCCCCTGCCCGCCGAATGTCCATGTCGACACCCACAGGGAGCTCCACCGACGGCCCCAGTGGCTGCGGTCGCATGGCACCGCCGCACCCGTTCCGGCACACGCCTCAAACGGTTCGTGGCAACAACACTTTCCCTTTGCAGGATCCAGCGGCTGCGGTCTTATGGCACCACCGTACGCCTTCCGGCGAACCCCTCACAAGGTTCGTGGTCCCATAGGGTGCTCTACCGAAGGCCCCAGTGGCTGCGATTGCATGGCGCTGCCGCGTTCATTTCGGAACACCCCTTGCACGCTTCGCGGCCCCATAAGGCGCTCCCCCAGCAGTTGCTGTCGCATGGCACCGCCGCTCGCGCTTCGGCGCGCCACTTACAAGTTTCGTAGCCCCGTGGGGAGCTCCGCCGAGGCCTCAGTGGCTGGGTTCGCATGGCACCGCCGCGCCACTTCGGCACACCCTTCACACGTTTGGTGGCCCCCTAGGGAGCTCCACCGAAGGCACCAGTGGCTGCGTTCGCATGGCACCGCCACACCCGTTTCAGCACACCCCTCACACGTTCCGTGGTCCCATGAGGAGCCTAAACCGAAGGCCCCAGCGGATGCGTTCGCATGGAACCGCCGCACTTTGCACGTTTCCTGGCCCCGTGGGGAGCTCCGCCGAAGGCCTCAGTGGCTGGGTTCGCATGGCACCACCGCGCCCAAGTCTGCGGCACACCCATCGCTCACACGCTTCGTGCCCGCCAAAAAGAGCTCCACCGAAGGCGGTACCCACAACAGGGCTTTCACGATTAGATATGGCTGGGTCTTTCTCCTGGAGTAGTTTCCCTGTGCTCACCTATATTTCCCCTCCCCCCTCCGTCATCCTTCCCCTCGTTGTTCTTCCTTCTCCTCCGCCTCTGCCCCGCAGCATCCACACGTACACCTTAGGCGATGCTTAAGAAAACTTAAGTTTTCGTCCAGAGTCTCGATTATTCTTAACTTTTCAATGTAAATCCTAAGATTCGAATGGAAATTTTAGGTTTTTACTCAAGTTCTGAGACTATGAATTTCTTAACCCATGATTTCTTAAGCATTTCGCAGGGTGTACTCTGGGAGGGGTCGGGATCCGCATCCCTCGCCGCCTCCCGGACCTGTTGCGCCACGGGAGGAGGGTCAAGACCATGTATGCATTCGGGGTTGTAAGCATGTGTTTGCTCGAGGTTCGATAAGCGCATGTTGGGTCGAGAAGAAATATTCCAGGGCCCGCCGTGCCGCCGTGTGAGTCATTCTCAAACGGTGCCCCGACGTGTGGCCTGGCTGGCTGGTTGGTTGGTCGGCTGGCTGCTAGATCCAAGCATAATGTTTTTGGAGTTGTTGGCTGGTTGGTTGGCTGGCTGGATGCGGGGTCAACGAAAATAATTGAATCTGTGTGACATCCTCAAATGCCACGGAAGGACTGGTTGGTTGGTTGGTTGGTTGGTGGCTTGGTAGGTTGGTGCGTCTTTTGATCGGTCAGCTGGTTGGAAACTCTTGCGTATTTTTTGATGATAATATCGTATTCGGCTCGTCTGCAAACGACAGATTATGGAATTGCTTGCGCAATGCAACGCAATGCGCTGCACTACAATGCAATGCAAACACAATTCAATGTCGATACAGTGCAACGCATTGCGGTGCAATGCAGCGGAGACGGAAATTCCTACACGTCACATGGCGACGCCTCGGGCCAGACAACGCACTATTCCATTCTCTCCGCCACGTGATGACGCTGGGGGGCCGAACAACACATACGATTCTATTCCACTCGCCACGTGGCAACGCACAAGGTGGAGCGAAGAAGCCTCAGTTATTCGTCACGTGGCAACGCCGTGGGGACCGAGAACATCTTATTCCACTCCACTCGCCACGTGGCATCGCCTGGAAGCCAAACAATGGTATTCCGTACTACTCTTCACGTAGCAGCGCCACGGGGCGTAAACGTACAATTCTATGCTACTCGCCCCGTGGGAACGCCGAGGGGGGGAACAGCACACCTCGACTTGCCACGCGGCAACTCCGCAGTCGACAACGATGACGATGGCGGCGACGGCGACGACGATGGCGGCGACGAAGACGGCAGACGACGGTGGACGACGGACGACGGACGACGACGACGACAAAGACGACAAAGACGATAAAGACGACGGTCCGTAGCCAATTTGGCTCAAGCCATTCTGGCTCAAGCCGCTTGGCTCACGATCTCCGGTCTCGGGCTTTCGTCTGTTCCTGCCTCTCGGCTCGTCGGCCCCCCGTTCAAGCGCGTCACTCGCCTCTGGTCACGGGATGGCCAATTTGGAAAGGCTAATGCAGACCAGGACCGGGCGCGCGCGGGCAAGGCGCCTCGGGTTGCTGGGGCCCCCGGCGGGTCAGCAACTCGCCTGCGCCGTGCCCGACGGGCCGATGCCCCCTGCAGATGCCGTGGACAAGTCCGTGGGCCTGGTGGACGTATTCTCCCGTGGCTCGAAGAACCACCACAGGGGCCACTGCATGCCATGTCGCAGCAACGGGAGCGGCCTTCCGTGCCCACGCGGTGAGACGTGCGATTGCTGCCATTACTGCCACGGGCTGGACAAGTTCCTCGACATGAAGCGTTTCACTGCCGTGACTACGAAGCGCAAGCGCTTTGGCGCAGATGCTGAATGGCCGACCGCATCTGCTTCCGGTGAGGCGCCTCGGTCAACTCAGCAGGAGACGACGCAGCAGGATGAGTGGTGCAACACCAGCTTGCCGGTCCTGTGCCTGCCAGGTGTGGGGTCTGCTCTCGGGCACCTCAGTCCCCAGCAGCTGGCGGCGATGCTCAGCGAGGCGGCGCCGGACTACTACGAGGACTGACGCGGTGCTGCAGGCGGCGGGTGTCCTGGCCTAAGTACAGTGAATTGCGAAGGCCTTACGGCCGGTGCCGCCGACCCTGTTCGCAATGCGCAGCAAGAGGCACGGGCTGTGGGATGGTTTTGGGGAACGGGGAGAAGGACGAGAAGGTGGGGGAGGGAGGTGTCGTATCTGACCCGGGACTTCCCCGGGACTCCCCCGGGACCCCCCCCGGGACCCCCCCTCCCCCCCCCGTCGGGGAAGGGAAAGGGAAGGGGCTTCCCTTCGACTCAATTACGACGTTGCTCAAGGTCGGTACGGGGGGGGGGCGTCGTATCTGACCCGGGACTCCCCCGGGACCCCCCCCGGGACCCCCCCTCCCCCCCCCGTCGGGGAAGGGAAAGGGAAGGGGCTTCCCTTCGACTCAATTACGACGTTGCTCAAGGTCGGCACGGGGGGGCCGTCGCATCTGACCCGGGACCCCCCCTCCCCCCCCCGTCGGGGAAGGGAAAGGGAAGGGGCCCCCCTTCGAATCAATTACGACGTTGCTGAAGGTCGGTTTGGCTAGCGCGCTCGAGGAGGAGGCCCTGGGAAAGGGCGAGGGGGGCGGGGAGGGGCCCAGGGGAAGAGGGGTACCAGGGAAAGGGAACGACAGAGACGACGATTACAAAGAATGACGGAGATGACGGCTCGAACGGAAAAGCCCCTCACACACGCCGACAGTGTCGGCGGATTTTCATCGCAGAGCAGACGAGAGTGAGGGGTCCGAACGGCCTTACACCGTCCGTGGGTGCGCGGAGCCTCGACGTCGCGCTGTCGAACGGCTTTCCATGTACGCTCGAGTCTCGCGACCCACTTCCCGTTTTTCTGCAACTGCAGATCCGCGCCAGCTGCGGGTTGGATGGAGAGGGCCAACGGCTGGTTTGAGCCCTACAGCCTATCAAGGCAGCCTGGACAATCTTGACAGCAGCTGAATGTTTTTATTCGCGTTCGCACGTGCAATGTGTGCTGCTTGTTCTTTCCAGCTGCCTCGGGAAGTTCCGCCACCGTGCTTGGGTTGTGTGTTATCTGCATAATGATGAGATGAGAAGGAGGAGGAGGAGGCGGAGGAGGAGGTGGAGGAATATGTCAATCGGGAAGCCTAACGCAGGCAGCAGATCAAGGCACGCAGACCCCGAGCCTGGCCTGACTCCGTGGGTCGGCAGGTGGGCCACGTCTTCCGCCACGCGGGCGGGCAGGCCTCCTGCTACGCAACGCCTGGCTACAACGCAGCATTTAGGTATTGTCTGTGGTGCCTGTTTGCTGAGAGTAGACAACCTACCTCTCATTGCTCGGGGTGAGCAACATGAGGGGGTGGAGGTTGAGGGGCCAACACCATCGACGAAGGCATCGATGGACTTGGTTTTGCTTCTCCGTGTGTCCCAAGACCAGGTGGCTACATGTTGGCCTGCTTGCGCGCCCAAACAACGAGTCTGCGGGGAGGGAGAGGGTGAACAAACTACCTGTTCCGATGAGATCCTGGGCCCATTCGGACGGAACCCTCATTCGGTTGCTGCAGAACTCACGGCGCGCGTGATTTACAATCAGCATTGTTCAGAGGTGGGAGGCATGTTGTTTTGTCGTTTCTGCAGCAGTGCAGTGCAAGTCGAATATGTTCCCCACTGTGACTGTCGGAGGAGGCTAGAGATATTTTGATGGAGGGTTTGGAGACGATGGTGAACCAAGGCAGTGTGTTTGTCACGCCCTCTGCGCCTGCTGTCCGTCTCCGCTGCTCCTCTCTGACTCCGCCCCAGACCCGCTCCACTGAAGTTGCCGCAAGTTGGTGATCGTGGGGCTCGTGGGCGGAAGGGGCGACGGGGATCGCAAACAGGAGTCCTTCACTCTTCACGGTAGCGATATTTGTGAGCTCCGCTGTCACTGGCCATTCCGTGCAAAGGCCGGTTTTGTTTCAAAATTGCCAGGTCCCGAACATAGAAAATGCTGACCTTCAGGTTTTTCTTAAGCATGTGGGCAAGGCCTGACTTCTTGTCCGGCCGTCTCTTGGGGCGATGAGCAGAAGTGCACGTAAGCCGCCTTTTGTGCCATGTTCGGATCCAGAAATCCAGGCCAAGATCTCGCAGGGCCAGAGCATTTGCTTTGTTGCTTTTAATTTTTAGTCCGACAGCTGACGCAGGAGTGGCAAGGCAGGTTGGCACCGCACCCCCTTCGGCACACCCTCAAACGTTCCCTGAGATCCTGCCAGGGGAGGTGGAGGATGAGGAGGAGGAGGTGGAGGATGAGGAGGAGGAGGAGGAGGAGAGCGATGTCATCCGGGACGCCTAGCGCAGGCAGCTGAGCGAGGCACGCAGGCCACGAGCTTGGCCCGGACTCGTGGGTCGGCTGATTCCTGGCGCGCGTTTGAAATCTTTCCGCGGCAGGTGGGCAACGTCTTCCGCCACGCGGGGGGCCAGCCCTCCTGTTACGCAGCGTTTGGCTACAACGCAGCATTTAGGTATTGTCTGTGGTGCCTGTTTGCTGAGAGTAGACAACCTACCTCTCATTGCTCGGGGTGAGCAACATGAGGGGGTGGAGGTTGAGGGGCCAACACCATCGACGAAGGCATCGATGGACTTGGTTTTGCTTCTCCGTGTGTCCCAAGACCAGGTGGTTACATGTTGGCCTGCTTGTGCGCCCAAACAACGAGTCTGCGGGGAGGGAGAGGGTGAACAAACTACCTGTTCCGATGGCGGCTCGTCCGTTGCAATTCGAAAATGTTCCCCACTGTGGTGGTCGGAGGAGGCTAGGGATAATAGCAGCACGAGGAGGACCATCAGTGATAAGGTCATCAATGGAGGGGTTGGAGACGATGAGGAGCCAAGGCAGTGTTTTTCGCGCGCCTCTGCACCTGCTGTCCGTCTCAGCAACTCCTCCTCGAATCCGCCCCAGGCTCGCTCCGTTACGCTTTGCGCAAGCTAGTAATCGGCACGTCAGCCAGTTTCTTGCGCTCGGCCCAGGGTATGTTTTTGTTCTTGTGTGCTTTGTCTGCTTGAATTGGACGGGTGTCTTACGGCTAACATTGACGATTGTCTGACTGTCATATCATCGAATATATGACCATTTTTCGTTTTGTACGGTCCTAGCCATCTGATGGTGAGTTTGATTGCGACCGCCATCATAAGACGGTCAATTCGACCGCAAATTCTCCCAGACGCGAAGTCGGCGGACTTCACCCTGTGTTGCTAGCTTCGCGTATCGGCGTTGCAGGCGTGCGTACTCGTAGGGCATGCGAGACCCTGGGGGAGGAGGAGGTGGTGGTGGAGGAGGTAGAGGAGGTGGAGGAATATGTCAACCGGGAAGTCGCAGTTAGCAGATCAAGGCACGGATTCGCAGTTAGTAGGTCAATCGGGAAGTCGCAGTTATCCATTCTCATCCATTCCATCCCAGATCCTCGCATTTTATCCCACATTACATCCCATCCGATGCCAATCAATTGCGTATCGTCGTTTTCGTTTTCGTCTTCGTTCTCGTCACCGTCCTCGACATTGTCGTTGTCATCGTCCTCCAGTTGCCGTGCGAAAAAGATTATTACATCGGAGGTGAGGGGGTGAGATCGAAGTGGAACGGAGAGCCCCCCTACCGGGAAATCGGTTTCGGTTTCGTGTTCGTGCGTGCCGCGCGTGCGGGCGAGGCGAAGCTGCGTGGGCGGGCGAGAAATGTCCCGCCTCTGGCTGAGGCGCGGCCGGACCAAAAGTCCCCCTTCCGGCAACCGGTGCCCCGCGGTGTCCCGCCAGTATCCCGCCGGTGTCCCGTCGGTGTCCCGACGATGATGATGATGATGATGATGATGATGATGATGATGATGACGATGTTTATGATGCTGATGATGGCCATGGTGGTGCTGATGATGGTGTCCCGATGCTGATGATGTTGATGACGATGATGTTGCTAATGATGATGGTGTCCCGATGATGATGACGATGATGTTGATGATCCTGATGATGTTGATGATCATGAGATGATGAGATGAAGATGGTGATGAAGATGGTGATGATGATGGTGTCCCGATGATGCTGATGATGATGAGGTTGATGATTATGTTGATGATGATGATGGTGCCCCGATGATGATGATGAAGATGTTGATGATGATGATGATGACGATGCTGGTGTCCCGATGATGATGATGATGCTGATGATGATGTTGATGAGGATGATGATGAGGTGATGATGATGATTTCGATGGCGGTGCCCCGATGATGATGCTGATGCTGATGTTGATGATGATGGTTTCCCGATGCTGATGATGATGGTGATGATGATGATGGTGACGATGATGCTGGTGTTCCGATGATGATGATGATGATGATGATGATGATGATGATGATATTGATGATGATGTTGCTGATGATGATGGTGTTTCGATGATGATGCTGATGCTGTTGTTCATGATGATGATGATGAGATGATGATGATGATGGTGGTGTTCCGGTGATGATGGTGGTGTCCCTATGATGGTGTTCTAGATGATGATGATGGTGACGATGGTGGTTTCCCGATGATGGTGATGATGGTGATGATGATGATGATGATGGCCATGGTGGTGATGATGATGGTGTCCAGATGATGTTGATGATGCGGATGTTGCTGATGATGATGGTGTCTCGATGATGGTGATGATGTTGATGATCCCGATGATGTTGATGATGATGAGATGATGACGACGATGAAGATGATAAAGATGATGATAATGGTGTCCCGATGATGATGATGATGATGATGATGGTGATGAGGTTGATGGTGGTGCTGCTGATGATGAGGATTGTGATGATGATGGTACCCCGATGGTGATGATGATGTTGATGATGATGATGACGATGATGGTGTTCGATGGTGATGAGGATACTGATGATGACTGGGATGGTGATGAGGCGATGATGAATTGATGATGGTGGCCCGATGATGATGTGGATGTTGATGATGATGATAATTACCCGATGATGCTGATGGTGATGATGAAGGTACTGATACTGATGGTGTCCCGATG